AATATTTTAAGAACAATAATATTTATTTATCAATATCCATTTCAATATCCAGCTCTAAACCACTTGAACTAATCTATTTATTTTTATTTTCATTCACAAAGTCGTAGTTATATAACTCTTTTTTATAGCCATGTCTACTACAAAATTCATATATAATTGTAGAATCACAGGCCTTAGTTTTATATTTTGCATGCTATTGACGATTGTGACCTTTGCTACCACATTCCCCACATATATTAATCTTAGGACTACATGCTAATTTTGATTGTTTTCTTTTTGACAACCGATTTTCTAGTGCTGATTGGTAGCATGCTGTTTTGGAGATCGACCTTTTCTAACCTTTTTTATAGAGTTAGAAACTTGTGATTTCTTAATAATAATATTTGGTTCAGAACATTCTTCGAGTATACTTGTCTTATAACTAGAGGTGGATGCTTTGGTTGTATTCTCAACAAGAAAGTATTCATTTTAAATAATATAGTTTTTTAAAAACTTAAGAACATTCGAATCATTCTTTTTAATAGCTATATTAATGGCCTTTTGTGTATTTCCAATAGTCTTAGCATAAATTTTTTTTGTATTACCTTTTTAGCAGTAATAGATGATGAAAGGTGAATCGTAGTAGATATTTTATTTGATGCAAAAATAAACTTAAGAATTCATTTAATGATAATATAGTAGTTGGAATTGATGTTTCTGACAATTCTGACAAAAATTCTGTAGATAAGTTGACAAGAGGTTGTATACCAAGATTTTCATCTTGGTATTTTTTAAGCAATCAACACTTTAATATGAAATTAATTGAAAATTTGGCAGCTAAAGAATATATCATAACTTTAAAAAAATATCTACAAGGATATCTATAATTAATTAGTAACATATAGCTGTATATAAAAGAGCCATCTATAAAAAAATACATAAAGCCAGAAATGTTATCAGGTTATATAGATCACATCCCAAATTTTGACTACTTTATCTTTGACTTGTTGAAAGATTACAAAAGAATAAGCCAACGGATAGTCAAAAGCATTGTCAATAAATGCTGCATCATTGTCTTGCATCTAGAATAAAAAATAAAAATAAAAGTTAACAATTGCTTTACTAACATAATCGTTACAAGCTTATTTTACCAATAACCAGTTTACCAATAGTTATCTTACTAAATATATATATTGTAGCAAACTAGTTATTAGTAAAATAAGCTTGTCAATTAATAAAAATCATTAAATAATCATTAGTAAAAATAAATGCAACCCATATAATGCAACTAAATGATTATTTACTTGATATAAATCTAAAGACTCAGGATTAATTTTAGTTGAATAATAAAATAAGCTATAATTTATTTTATAGCAAATTTTTTCAATTAGATTGAGTGTAATGAAGGTCTTGAGAATAGCGTCAATATTTAAATATATAGTATCACAAATATTTGGTGGTTTAATATTAGGATTTGATGATTTCTAACTAATAAAGTTATAATAGTCTTGACTAGCGATTAAAAAATTAAGTAAATTAAACAAATCATACAGTGTTGTATAATCACAGCATATAATAGATTTAATATATGAATTAATTGACTCAACATGACTTGTTGCCTGTATACTGGCAGTAAAGTGCCAAAATGTATAAGACCTTGCTCAAGCTTTTCTATCAGAATATAAAGCCTTATTAAGATATGATTTAGCTTTTGAATAACGTTCATACAAAGATTTAAACTGATCTTCAAATATTTGTGAATCTAATATATTGTGAGTTTTATAGAAGTCCTTAATAAATAAGTTCCAATCAAAACTTAATTTGCTTTTAAGATATTTTTGTAAATTTTGACTAATGTACTAAATGCAATAAAGATGTTAAGTCAAAAGTAAAATAATAGAGATAGTGAAAGTTATGGTAGGATCGGTATCTGTCAAAATAGTAGTCAGATAAAGCTCTTCAGTAGCTTTAATTAGAACTTCAAGTAATCAGGAATATGATTTCGCTATCTTATTATCCAATATTACTTGTGCAATAAGACAAGATTGATAGGTATTATTTATAATGATAAAAAGAGACAATGGTATATTATAAACATTTGTCTTTGCCATATTATCATGAAAAATAATATCACTATATCATATTCAAAGATCAAATTAATTTGAAAACATCCAAAAAAGATGTGTTAAAGCATTAGTATTTGAATCAAAATACTACTCAATAACCTATCTTGAATCCTTCTCCTTTTTTTTAAGTAATTTTGATAATAATTCTGCCACATCATTATTACTATATGAGATCTTTTTTTTGACTTTTGCAATTGCATTATATAAGTTGCTATGATGAATCAGGACTTTGTACTTTTTTACAAGAAGTCTATATTGAGCACTTGTATTGATCTTTTCAGATAAAGTATAAAACTCAATATCTTTCAATATCTCCTTGGAAAGCTTTTGATTTTTAGAAATAAATTGTATAGTGGTCAGATTGAGTGTATAGCCAGTATAAGTGTTTGTAAAGATAGAAATATGATAATTATTTAAATGCTTGCTTTGATAAATATTAACCTTCTATTTACAATCAGTATGATATAAACTAGCCCTTTCAGTTTTGTGTAATTTATTTTTATTTGGTGGTTTCCCAGTATGATGACATATGAATGACCTTGAGATCTCAACACTATTTGAGTCTTTTTCAACACGTCTTTTTCGAATTCCAAATCTATTTGAACAAGCAAATGATTCAACCACAAAATAAGCCTCTTCAACTGTTTGAAAAATTTGGTCTAACAACATCGATATTGTAAAATATGTCTTCTGATTCTTAAATCAAGAACTATAAATATTTACCTTCATAAAGCCTCAATTGTTCACCAAACTTATCATCTAACTGCTCATCAGACTCATTATTTACATATTCAAATTTGTTATTCAAAGTAGTTAAACTTATAGATTAGTTCAAGTGGTTTAGAGCTGGATATTGAAATGGATATTGATAAATAAATATTATTGTTCTTAAAATATT